CACATAATGCCTATGTCATCAGCAATTAAGGGATGGTTAATATTTTGTCAAATTACAATCAAATTTTCAGAAGATATTTTCTGTCACTAAATAACTATGATGAGAATATATCACGGTTTTTTTTGCTCTCTTCGTGCAATGTCAGCTTAGATGTACCTCGACATGTGTTATTAATCATGTCAAGATAATTTTAACGCCTATGGTTTGTGAAAGCGTAAATGACATTAGTTTTCACTGAATTACATGCATCTTCAAAGCTCAGAAAAGCCATTCATAATAGTATTTTGGATATTTATTAGCATTTTCTGGAATATCGAAAGTGCACGTGGTCGATGGTAGGAAACACCTTTTCTAAATATACTTTTATCGTGACATTTGTTGGGCTTAACGTTGCACGTGATTCATGATCTTCATGAACAACGTCTATACATGTGATAATTACGAGGATAAGATCTCCATAAATGTATTTAATCATTTGTGTAAAAATGTTATGGTTTTCTTTCCAAATGTGCTGCAATGGGTTCATGTAACTAGAGGCACTAACATTAACCACGGTGTAAAAAAAAATATTATTGTTGAATTTAATCCTGACCCTGAATGATGGTCATTCATCCAATTGCCTTGAACAGAACAGGAAGATGGCAGATAACAGAACTGTAGTGGGTGGATAATTTCAGCTGTGAACCTGTGAAGCTGAAATTTACGAAGCACTTTGGGGCTGCAGTGAGCAGGCTGCAGAACATGAGTCAGTGGCTTAACTATTGAGTGTGCAGGCAGTGCAACTGCACTGGGGCCCACTGACCATAGATGCCGAAGAACCAGGTTACTAAGAGTCAGGGAAATTGGAAGGTGGGGGGTTGTTTGGGATTTTAATTCCTTGCACCAGTGCCCATTGCCACACTACACCACAAAGCTACAAAGGGTTCACACTGCCAGTCCACACACCTTACATGTGTCCTGGCCTCTACCTGCCAGGCACGGCCACACGAAGTGCAGCCTATACCGAGCGCTTAACGCCTTCACCAACATTGTTGTGACCACAGCTAGTGACCTAAATCTATGGAACATTTGAGGCTCATATCCTAGCATTTCATTTGTCTGCAACCTTGCATTGCAATTTTCAAACAAATGGCTGTGTCCGGTGTAGATTCTGCCAGGTTAGGTGCCATTGTAGAATTTCGCAGATGTGATTAGTGCGGGCACTAAAAAAAAGAAAACAACACTGAAATCTGGAGGCAGAATGGTTAACAATGGTACTGGGATGTTCGCTCCTAGCAACAAGGGGGGTCCCCAGTGCATTTTGAATCCAGTTGCATTTATTGATTTGTGTCCCAATTTAGAAAAAGTGTTACACTTCTGCCCAACTTGAATCGAGATGAATTAATGAGCAACTCTGCATATACTCGTGACATGCTGGGGGTGTGTAGCCCTGTCCTACCCCCATGAATACATCATCTGAACTAAATGTGCTCACATAATGTACTCTGTAACTCTCATAGGAACACACGGACAAATGTTAGAATTGCTACCTCCAAGGTACAAAAAACTGGGCGATTCATGGGAGAAAATCTCACAATACTAAAAAAGGGGAGAACTAAATGTAGTGTAAAAGCATTGCCTTAGGTGGTTTATTACTTGCCAACTGACATTAACCGATACTTTTAATGTCCTGACTTATAGATTTGCCAGAACAGCCACCTGAAAAATATGATGTCCTGGGGAAACCAGATAAAGGAAAACCTAACAAAAAGCCATAAGACGTGTATTCATTTAGAGCTTATTCAGAATGTACTGAATGGTCTTGTAATTTTCAAAATAATAACACAATATCAAGAAACTAATTTTATGTGATTGTGTGGGAGATGTATTACATGTGGAAATTAAATTCTGAGTGGACTGCTAATCATACTAAGCTGGATATTCTCTGCAACAAGTCGCATAACTTGATTTGTAGATTATGCACCTATTGTTCAACTACAGTCATCGACTTACGCACACAGACTTACAAATACCTGCACTTGCAAACCAGCTTCAATGAAATATTTTTTTACATTGACTTCAAACTCTGACTTGCAAACTGAACCGCAGAACTATGTTGTTCAGCGAAGCGATCCTCTGCGAGATGTAACGAGTCAGCCTCACACTGGGGGTGTTTGCGCGTGTTAAAGTGTGGGGAGCGGTAGTGTATAGCTGTTAGCGGGCTGCACTACGAACCTGGCGACCCGGGTTCGATTCCAACTCACGGCCAACACCAGTGACGATTATCTGAACCGGTCCTGGGCCTCCTCTAGGTTGACTCAGCCTCAAACGAGTACCTGGTGCGGTGTATAAATGTCGGCACTGGGGAGGCAAAGGCGGCCGGGCGTGGTGTTGGCCACCCACCCCCTCGTGTGCCGTGTCGGCCTTCATAGGTGCTCGCTAACAGCACTTGCCCCTACAGTTTGTTCAGGCTACACGGGATCTGTGTTTGTCTTTTGTGTGCAATTGTGGTGACTCATTGCGCCCCTTCCGACAAGCACGCCATCATCAGGACTAATTTACGTTAAATTTCGATTTAAAGATTTCGTGACTGCAGGAATTCATCTTCTTGGTTCTTTCGGTAACGTCACGTAGAAGGGAAATTATAAAATAATAAAAAAATAAACATTATAAAATTAAATTAAATTCTCACGACGTTTCGGCCACAAGCGAGGACGGCTGCTTGCGTTGTGGCCGAAACGTCGTGATAATTGTATTTAATGTTTTATTTTTATTATTTTATTATTTCCCTTCTACGTGACTTTACCGAAAGAACCAAGAAGGTAATTTACGTTCCTTTTAGTTGTATTTACTATGCAGTATTTTTACAGTGTTACTTGCAAATGTACAATATTTATTCTTATTAATGAGTTTAACAATGCTTCCCTTTTTTGTTCAACCGTAACTCATTTCATAACACTAACTGTTCGACTTACGAACAGATATATCCAGGTCCGTCGGTTTTTCCCTCAACATTTAGAAACATGCGTTTACAGTATATGGCTATACATTTCCACATAAGCCACTTTCGTTGAGCTATCATTTGTGACCAGGTCGCTTCTGAAAATAGATAAAGCTCAGTGGGCTTTACCTGGCAAAATAACGGGGTTTTTTGTGTTCGTAAGTCGATGACCGTCTAAATATTTGAGTCTCGTCTTTTAATTCGCGCAATGTCGCCACCTGCTGTTCACGGAGCGCTGAACACGATTCTAGATTTGAAGTTTTCGTGACTGCAAGGATTCATACGCTTTGTTTTTTTCGGTAAAGTCACGTAGGTAAAAAATTAAATAAATTAAATCACGACGTTTCGGGCGCAACACAAGCGTCCTTCTTCAGCTGGACACAGAGCCGTGGAAACCGAAGCTCCTCTCGGCACGAAAGCATTTGGGTCATGATTCAGGGTCGTGGATTGATTTATGAATGGATCATAGATACCATTGTGACCTCTAGGGTATTGCATAGGTTGCATTAACCCATGACATACCCTGTACTCGTTCTCTGCGATATTGATATTGTCTTTGTTGTTCCTGTGGTCTCAGACCTCCCTTGTAAAAATAGCGGGGAAACTGACTGAACGGGATGATCCGAGTAAAAAAAACTCTAGAATGAATTAAAACAAATATTAATTGTACATACGATTCTACACATGTAGATATCATGAGCCGAAATAATATACAATCGGTAAAAATGTACACTCGGATTGAACACGAACGCATTAGTAATATTTTCAACGATTCTTTAATCTTTCAGCCAAATGTAAATAGCGAAAAAATGCTTCAAACGATGTGAACAATTTTCCATACGCATTTGGCAAATAATTCTTGTTTTTTTATACACTGGGTGTGAATCCATAATTTTTCTAGGGTATAGTAGTAATTGCAATAGTTTATACAGGATACTTTAAATGCAGATGTAGGTTTATCCCATGTACTCGACTTTCCGTTGGAGAACCTGACCTCCCTGGTCAACATCTCCTGTTGAAAGAAACAACCAAGCACATTAATACGTGTCACGTGGTGGCTGTTTTAATAGGGTACATTTTATGCACTCTAATGAAAACAAATAGTGAGAACATTACACGGTATTTTACTGGTTGATAAACGCTATGGTGACTCGCAAAAACTGACTGAATTCGCTGCTTGTGTTCACACTACGGAGTTCTCGATATTTATCCCCTGGCGCAAACGGGGCAAGAGTTCATGTCAATAAACGAATACGTTTTGTCAGCTGACAAAGATTCAGTGCTTGCGCAGTGAGGGCAAAAAAACTCATAGTGATCATAAATCACCCTTCATTTTAAACATTATTTTCATTGATAATGAAATTATAGCAACTCCTAAACCGCGAGGTTGAATACTACATATTTATTCACTAAAGTTGCACTACCATAGGATTCTGATCAAATCACAATCCTAGCTGATTTGAAATGTTAGCAAAGATGGATTCTGCGCTCAAAGGTGCGGCCCGAACATTCCACTCCTGAAATTTGTGGTTAATGAATCACCACGTTTGGTATATGGCATTATGTCACGACAGTCTCATTATAACACTGTAAGGTTCCACATCACTTACATTGGAGGCAGTTTTTCAGGAAACACAATGTTATGTATCATAGTGTACAAGGTATATTTAAAATGATTTTTTTCCCTTTAGTTATGTTCCTTGAAATATGTAGTCATGTTTTTTTCTTCCATTTTCCACCGATTCCCTAAGAACATGCCGATACTTGCTGTTTTGTATTGCACACTATGTAATCTAGATTTGAAGTTTTCGTGACTGCAGGGATCCATACTCTTTGGTTCTTTTGGTAAAGTCACCACGTAGGTATAAAATGAAATAAATTAAATCACGACGTTTCGATCGCAACACAAGCAATCATCATCAGGTGGGAAAACCACAGCAAGAAAATGTTTTGCTGTGGTTTTCCCACCTGATGATGATTGCTTGTGTTGCGATCAAAACGTCGTGGTTTATTTTTATTATATTTTATACCTACGTGACTTTACCGAAAGAACCAAAGAGTACACTATGTAATCATAATGGTCACTAAGATCTGTACTGTACAAAATCTGTACCGTCGCAGGACGCCCATGAGAGAGCCTAACAGCTCATTGGGCCCTTCCTGCTGAAATAAATACAATGTAATGACCAGCAATATTTTTAAAATAAACTAATTATTCAGATGAAAGAAAAATGGACAGCACACTTTATGTTTTAAGTGCAGACTAAATATTTTTTACGTGCCATCTTTCGTTCAATGACACAAACTTCCTACAAATTTCATGAACGGACGAATGAACACTGCCTCACAAGTTTCATGAGAGAAATTCGTTGTTTTGCAGGATATACCCATCTGCAAAACGGACCATAGCTCCTTAATATCCTGGCATTGCGCGAGTGGCACAAGTACAGAATGTACAAATGACTTCTTCTTCACAATACATGCTTGCTTGTTCACTCGTGTTTTTCAGGTGCAGCTCTAAGTTCCTAGATCTTGCTGAGCTGGAGGCGCGAGATGAATGGGGCGTGGTAGGAGCCCAGGTAAAGCCATCCATCGTGCTCATGGGCCTCGCTGACGGAGGGCACCATCGTTCCCGCGGGGTCATGGAGGCTGCGCCGCACTGCGCCGTCTGGGCCCAGCTCCAGCAGCAGGCCGTGCCGTGGCACAAACTGCATCATCACCTCCTGGCTCAGGACCTGTGCGCTCCGCAAGGGACGTGGGCGCAGGACACAGAACATGCTGACCACTTCTAGATTTGAAGCTTTCGTGACTGCAAGGATTCATACTCTTTGGTTTTATTTCAGTAAAGTCACGTAGGTAAAAAAAACTAAGTAAAATCACGACGTTTCGGGCGCAACAGAACAGTCTGCATCAGCAGTAGGCCATGCTTTCCCACCTGATGACAGACGCTTGTGTTGCGCCCGAAACGTCGTGATTTAATTTAGTTGTTTTCATTTATTTTATTTTTTTACCATGCTGACCACTGTACAGTGCCTGTGGCAACAGCCCATGCTGGCAGCATTTGGAATTCACCGACAACGCTCATTGGCAATTCTGAGGTTATGTGTAATTAACATTCATGTAGCAAAGCATACGTTAAGTTATTATTCACAATTTATGCAAATTATATGCTGACGATACACAGACTAATGGAGTCAACAAAACTGTACAAGAAACAGAAAACATACAAACAATACAAACGAGATGGTAAAAGCCGAAAAAATAAGATTCCTTGATTCAAATCAGGACTGAATCAAATTGCATAATAATTCACAGCAATTGTCTGATTATTCATCGAAACAAGTTGACAATATGCATTATCCACACCTTGAAGAGGAGCGACTTAAGCCAAGGCCGCGGTGCTAGGAAGTCTACGAAAGAAAAACCAGGGTTGGGCCGCACCCCAGCCATGGCCAGCCAGTATCCGCCGGTGCCGCTTGCACGAATGTTGTCTGGGAATCCAGGAAGGTTGTCTGCGAAGATCTCGCTTGCGCCCGCCAGCTGTCCTGACAGACGATATCTGTGGGACAGGTGTGGAGGGTTCACAATCGCTAAAGAAGCCAGAGGTGCGGAAGAAGCAAGTTGCAGAAACGTTGTGTGGTCACTGCGTGGGCAGGCCGTGTCTGCGGCAGCTGAAACACAACCATCGTTGGGAATTATTAACAGGTGGTATACAGTGCATGTTAGGTGCCTTGAGGCAGAAAATATATTCAAGACTTGTGCTCAATGGCAGTTGTGTGTTTGAAGCAAGAGTGTTTATGCTTTACAGCAGCTTTATTCAACTGGCAGACCAGGGGTCAAAGGTTTGGGGAATAGCTCATCGAGAGTTATAGAGATGCTGATTACCGAGATGAAAAAAATATACAATATAACAAGAGATAGAGATGAGAAAGCTGGAAACGAGGTACAGATTAGTGCTCACGTATCACATGTTTCCACGCCACGTAACTTCATAATGAATGTCTGTGTGACATGTGACGCCACGTGGCTCTCCCGAGCACGCTCGTGGTTGTTGAACGTCTTTCGCACCGTGCGTAGCAAACCGTGCTAATCGGAGGTGCTGTTGATGTTACATGCAAATATGACAATGATTAACCCTGCCCTAACCCTCTATGATCCTGAGCTAAGTCAGTTTTAGTTGTCTTCGTTTTGGCTCGACTCGGCAAACAACCAGTGGAAAACCCACACGTACCGTAAGGGCCCCCATGCTGGCGCGGCTCTGACGTGCCAGTAAGAAAGAGGTCTACAGGGCTTACTTGAGCACCCTTGCCATGGTTGTTTCAGCGACGAGCAGCGCGTCCTCGTTAGGTGTGAGCTGCACGCCATTGGGGAATCGCAGCCCGTCCATGAGTAGCCGTAGGGAGTCCTGGACCATGTTGTACTCGAACAGACTGCACCACCGCACACACCAGCTGTCACGTGGGCTCCAGCTGTCACAGCCTGAGCAACAGTGCAATTGTTACCAGCAAACACATTGAAAAGCCGTTGTTAGGCTGTCATCAGCTAAGTGTGACTTGTTAAACAGAAGCCAATTTATGTTGAGAGGCAAGATCCCCCGACGAATAACCTGAGGACTCTTTAGCTGTTCAGAGTACAGCTGGGTTATATGATTATATATGCAACTACTCAATGACTCTCTTGATCGCCAGTTCAATTACTCGACTAATCAGAACATGAAAATATATGTGAAAAGTCGCAACTCTGGACGAGTTTGGTGCTATGATTGGCATCATCAGCTGAGTCACTCCCAAGCGTGGTTTAAGGAGGGTTTCCTGTACTCATGCTTCATCTGAATAAGGATGGTTATAAAATAACATGTTTAGTTGAATAATCCACATGAATACCTATGTATATATACACAAAAATATCACCCAAAACCTCTGAAAATACAAATACAAAAGCCCTATATTTAAAAACTACACGAAAGTTTAAAATGTGTATTTTTTTCTAAATCCCATGTCATGCATGCAATGCTCGAATAATGTGAAGAGAGAGAATTAAAAAATTGGACCGCACATTTCAAAATAGTAAACAAAAAATTCCAACCTGGATGCCTGGACAATCTCACCCATTACACTTCCCACAGCCTTCTTCCCTCTGCGCTAAAGCTACTCCATCGCAGGCCTCACCGCCCATCAGCAGTGGCCTCCATCACCAGGTAGCGGTTGTTTCTCCGCTGCCACTTGCTGCTCGAGTCTGTGAAGTAGATCCTGGTGCCGTCGCTGGTCACCGTCAGGTCATTGATGAAGCCCATGGGATGGCCCGCCACCGGCTCTTGGGATGACACCAGGGTCAAGACTTTGCCTGTCCATCATACCAGCAAGCAGCACACAAGGCGAATCATGCACGACAATCCCATTCAACTATCGCAAGCGTAAGAACTTTAGCGATTGGACCGAAGCATCATTGCATGCCCAATCACAACCTCAACATTCTTAATTGAATTGTGGTAGAGTGAGGAAAACACTGATCGAGTTTTGTCCGTGACTTGATGAATAGCAACTTATAAGTCCATGTTCAGATTAGTTAGCCAAGCAATGGCTTCAGCCGATGTGCTCTCGATTGCTTCAATGTCGCTGTCGAATGTTCGGAGTTCATAGTGGTTCATAGTGGGTCGAAGGTCTAATTGGTGTTTGCGCTATCTCATGGCAAGCTTTCGTTTACTTCCAAATTGCAAAGGTAGTGAGCGTGTCTGCTGTGAGTTGGCAAGGAAAATTCAATCCCAGAGGTTATTTACTGGGATTGGTAATCAGGTGCTCTTTGAGGATATTGGTGTTCACCCAAATCTATCACAATTGCTCTGAGGGATGCAAAAGCCACATTTTTAAAGCCTTTGGTTGTGCTCAAGAATTTTTTGTGTGACTTTTGTCAGTAATTCAATAGATTCCATATATCATAGTGGAAGGACAGAATTGGATTGACTTGGATATCAATGTATTGGTATGAAGAATCGTGTTATAATTCGACCAAATGTATTCAATTATATCCTGACAAGTGTCGTAAGGCCAGTTGTTGTTTTTATGTAAATTATACATTTCCTACACATTTGTGAACAACGTTTTGGTGCATGACGTAAAAAAATATATTTGAGATGTGTAATGTTGTAATCACGACAAATAAACTACTTTATGAGGCACACGTTGTTTATTGTCTTTCACTACAGGGTCCCTAGCATGAAGGGTATATCGGTCCCTTCACCCGATACCTAGGCGTTATGGCCTCCGAACTATACGGGACCTAACTCTGGTAACCCGTTCTCTATCGTCCTCCGGCTGGGACCTAGGGGAGGCTAACTGACCCCGACCTCCTGGTCCGTGGGTCCTGACCACTGGCCTTACTGAGCTCCAGCCCTTAGAAGGGCTGTAGAGGTTGGGTCCAGAGTCCTCTCTGCCAGGGACCTATTCTCCCTTGACCACTGGCCTCTCTGAGCTCCAGCCCTTAGAAGGGCTGCAGAGCTTGGGGTCCAGGATCCTATTCTCCAGCCCGGTCTTCTGTCTTCGGTGTGTAGATATATACTCATTCGTGGCCGGCTCCGCCCTGGCCACGCCTTCCTTCTGGAACACTCTGGGCCATCCTGGAAGGTGACATCATTCCCCCGGTTCCCCCCCCCCCACCCGGGGGCCTAGGGAATGTGTCCTAGGATCCGTTAACCGGGATCCACCATTGGCCTCTCTCTGGCTCATGGCATTTGCCCTGGCGAGGTAACGCCTCTGCACTCTGTTGACGGTAAGTGGAACTGCAGGGCTGTTGAATTGTGAGTGACAATCAATCCTACAGATGTATGGAAAATAATACGTTCATTGTCATTACACTCAATGATGTTGTGTGCAACAGTGGTTATGAAAAAATTCATGATGTAAATACAATTGGAAAAGACCCTTCAGATGATTTAGGGTCCTTAATATGTCAGCTTGCAAGCTTTATATAATGAATCATGTCAGACTTCATTATGTCAAGATGATACCAGGCTGCAGTTTATATTTAGCTACTTTCATCATGTAGCACGACTCACTGCAGTACTCATGCCGTATTTTTATCTGTTCAGTGCCAATTTCGTGAGATGTGCCTTTAAGGACCTGTACTGCTTTTAAGCGTTAACTTCAACAAAACAGGGTTACACAAAGAGAAGGTCAAAGATAACACTAACACTGCATTTCCCTCGGGTAACAAAACATTTTTTCTTTTTTTGGCAAATGGACCTCACAAACTATTAAATGGGTAAGAAACAAATGTATACATGCTCTGTTAAATATACAGTATGGTATAAAAATAACAAGGTTCACCCATTCTGCTCTAAAGTGCAATGTGATCCCCTAAACCTCCCTTTGCCATTGTGGTTTTATGAATGCACACGCTTTTAGGGTTCCAATTTCATCTATAAAAATACATAAACTGTACAGAGAGAAATGGCATTGTTTAGCTACGGAGTAATGTGCATATATATTTTACAAGTGTATGGTACATGGGGGAATGTTTAGTCTCGAAATTCTGACGAATTTATTTGTGCTTAAACTTCGTGTAAGTAAATAATAAAGTCCATCAACCAATTGGCATCAGCATTATTTTAAGCAGGAAAGTTCTGGACGAGATTCGACCTCCTAGGTCTCATCAGCAAAGTTGTGTTGCCAGATGTGAATGGCCAAAGCACTCCATCGTCCAAGCTACGAGGCTCCCCAGCGCAAAAACGTATTATGCACCATCTCGGGGGACCATGATGACGATTATTATGCTTTTATATCCAGGAAATACTCAGCTTCTCATGAATCTTTTCAGCAAGGTCCTCCCAAGTTTTCGTGAGACAGGGCGATGATCACTGTCGATTTCAATCGAGTAATTTGATGAAGGACCATGGAATAGCAATCAGCATGGAATTTCTGTACAAATCATGGATACCTTTGACTCCTTTAAAAATGTCACGATACCTTTCATAAGTGACTTTGCTAATAATAATAATGCTGCATATGGGAGGCACATTATAAATTATCTTTTTCAGGCAAACAAAAAAGGTACGATTTGGAGTGGTTCGTGAGTTGATTGCAACAGTGCAGGTGGCTTCCTGCTAACTCCCTGAGACGTTTGGCTCACCGGTGACGGGATCGACCTCGAAGAGACCCAGGTACGCGTCGGCTATCAGCAGTGTTCCGTTCGGACTGACACGTATTCCCAACGGCCGCCCGCACGTGGGCTCCAGCTCCGGGCGCCCTGCATTACGCGCACACGATGGATCCCGCGCAGTTCGCAGTGAGCAAGTGCGAGCACGTGCAGTGCGAAGCATGAACACGAGGGAATGGCTTGCTTGGCAAAAAAGTCCCAAACCGAGGAGGAAATACAGGCAGACCCCGCTTAGCGCTCAGGATGCATTCCTGGAGAAGGGAGCGCCAATTGAATTGGTGTTAAAAGGGGTCATGGTTCCATTGTATACATGGGGATGCATTCCTGACAGCGTCTTTCCTGTGAGCAATATACGAGGGCTTCGTTGGGGTGTCGGTAAGAGCTAAAATCACCCAGAAATGTCTGACAGTCCCGCACGAAACGTCACTCCACATGAGGCCCACCCCCCCTCATTAATATTCATGAGTGGGTGGATTTTTACACAAATGCAGAGGAAGGTCGAGCTGAATTAAATCATTTATTACGCAAAGTTGCTTCAAATATAACGTTTCTTTACAGAAAGTGACGGTAAAAAATAAATCTACGCAGCACAGTGCTACATCCGTGTGTGACATCACTGCAAAAGAGCCCCCCCCCCCCCTTCATTAATATTCATGTCCGCGTGGAAATTTACACGAACGCACAATAAGGTTGCGCACTCCACATGCCGCACCCCTCCACAATAACCATTAGCCGGTGACGTCACTCCACATGGGGCAACCCCCCCCCCCCCCCCTCATTAATAATCATGAGCTGAACTATTTTTCTTTAAAATATTTCAGATTTACTGCAATATACACCCGTCCTTGGACGGGCAAAAAAGCTAGTAGAGCTAATAATGATACAGGCGGTAAACATTATTTGTGGACATGGATGACGTCGGCGACGCAGTTCAAAGTTCATTTTTTAGGTATAGCCCTGTGAGCCATTCGGCTCTTGAATCGGGTGCAACCACAACAAACAAAAAACAAAAACATGAACAAGAAAACATCTTAAAGTGACTATGTGCAAACAGAAAATCCAAGAAAAGACAGCAAAATATTGCAGAAAAAAATCACCGTACACCAACCCTGTGCAAATATCCCAGTGGGATGCAAGTCAAACAACAACAACCACAAGACAACTTAGATTAAGGCCATCAGTCTAACTCTGTACTACAACAAGCAAACATGGCCAAACAAAAAAACTTTTCGAAAATCACCAAAAAAAAGCCATAAAAGCAGTGAAACAGTGATCATAGGAACTGTGACCGAATTTTCACAATAAACGACGTAAACAACATGTACCACCAAACTCTGCAGCCATAGCTGGCTGCATGAGTCACTCCACAACAGTGGGAGCATCAGTCGGAGTATCAACATTTTTCAATGCACCTTTAAGATCAGCGCACTAAATCAAAACACAGATCATACAGAGACTCACTCGCGGAGGCCCCCATCCCCTACCCAGCTCCCCCCCCACCCCCCGAGCCGACCACCTTTGTCTTCCCAATGCAATACCTCAACACTTTTCTGGCTCCCAGCTTTCCGTTAGCCCCCAGCAACGACCAGGCCTACCACAACTCCTTCGAAACACTCGCGCCCATTCTGTTGTCACTAAAATGACACCACCACTTGTAATAATCCCGTTCTTCATCTGAAACCAATATATGCACAATTGTAGAATTGCTGTGAAGCACCTTGAAAAAGACGCAATATAAATTTTCGACAATATAGCATTATTTCATAAATAACAAATCATAATGTAGGATCATATCAGTATTATGTCCTGTAAATACGAGTGCATTCGACTGTACTCGTTACAAGGCATCGGTGGATCAAGACGTTGTAGTAGTCTTGGTCATTCTCAGAAAAGAGCTCCAGGTCCTCTGTGATATTAGTGATGCCCTCAGTCAAAATTTCTGTGGTTCATTTTAGGTGGAGCCTTAAGACTTTATCATTCCAGTTATGATGTTCACACACTGCACCATGGACTCATTTGGGGGCTGAATTAACATATTAGAGGTCCAACCAAATATAAACAAAATACTGTTCTGTGCGTCTCCCCATATAAATAAAATATGTTTTAGTCCACGGCCTTTTGGTATTCCAGCCCAATACCAGAATCTTTATTTATCCAATATAAAAAACAAGTGCAATAAACTCTGGACAGGTTTGCAAATGTGAACCCCTCTCTAATCGAACAAGCAAAATGCACCCGTGTGTGGCAGCTTGTACACAGGAAGCAGGTGCAGGAAGTATGGCTTGCACCAGAGGTTGTCTCTGGAATTTATAGATAAAAATGTGATAAAGTATTTAAAAACATAAATATACACTAAATTACCCGACCATAGTGCTTTGAGACACACGTTTTAAAAGGTAGCTTGTGGTTGGATTATACTGTAATTATATACAATCTTAAATTTAAGGGAAAAAAGGAAAAAAACTAGTTTCTTTTTACTTATTGTCTTATTTACTACTTACTTTTCTCTTTTCTTATGCTATTCGTTGTATGCGGTTGTACTTTATTTTGCACACAGTTGCAATTTGTTTTTCTCAGTCGGTGTTAGCCGCTGATGGCGCAACGGGTTTCTTTTTTCATTCCTGTTGTTCTGTGCCCCCCCCCCCCCCCCCGTATCGTTCCCGTTCTGTTGTAATATGCACCGATGCCTACTATATTGAGAGCGATATTGGCACATAAAATAAAGATTGGTTGATTCATTGATTTGAGTAATTTTGGCACACAAATGGATAAAAAAAATCATTACCACATGGTGGCTTTCCAAATCTTGCCAGTGTGGATATTTCTCCTTTTTCAATTTTTAAAATTCGTCCATCAGCCGTTCCAGTATAGAGCACATCTGAAAGGCAGGATACAAACAATGCAAAATCTAAATCTCAGTTGCAATTGAAAGATCAGCAGCAAATGCAATGCATTGGTCAAACGAGGAATTGAAAAGCTTTTACAACACTCATTTAAAGTACAGGGTGGTCTACAATCATAATCCATGGAATATTATCGCTGGATAAATTCTGTTTGCTCAACATAATAAACAAGTCCGAACCTGCCGATGAAATATAAACATTCTCCATTCAGCCATATTGAAACTTTGCAGCTAATGAATAGCAGACCTGAATACATTCTACGTGGGCCCTATATTTTATAAAGGATATTTGTTTTCATTTCCAATGGAGGTGATTTCCTGCCACAGCTGTTATACACAGTGGAAAAATACAACTGCTCACAGATTTCACTGGATATTACTGATTGCAAGAATTATGGGGAAATCTAGCATCGGTTTCCCTCTCTTTCACTGATAACAGTAACTGGTGAGAAAATACAAAACCACTCTCAATCATTCTACAACCAGCTCTTTGTCTGATAATGGAACCATCTTGTTGACTTCCAACTGTAAAAATGTGTGCCATTGTTAACACTGTGTGGCGGTTTGCAATTCTGAAATGCTTTCCGCACTTGTGGTCACGTCAGGTTGACAGGATAATTCAATTAATCTCAAGTTGACGGTAAGTTTTTCCATTGCCCATATCACGTGGTCAGTCGCTTTAAATGCACATTAATCAACGACGCTGGATACACACAGCCCTGACATGGCCATTGTAGAAAAACTAAGCAAACTTCTAAAACATATTAATTATGCAGACGAACCGTGACATTCCGTGGGTATCACAGTGACGTGCGGTCGTCTAAATGTCTTACTGCGAGTCAACGTTATTGCACATTGTCCGATATTTTAATCTAAATGAAACACTGTGGCATACTTATAGGGATTTGTTCAATTCACCTCCCAACGTAACAATGGACTCTGGGCCCATGAGCTGACCCTGGAACAGCCGTTCTACTCCACGTAGCTTCTCGTTGGGCTGCAGCAGTCCCGTCAATGGGGGCGGCTCTGCATAGCTGCCGGAGCGTGGCCACAGAGCAACCGCAGAGCATGGCAGGGAGATAATAAGCAGTTTTAGGTTCATGGGCAACAGAACAAACATGTTCATTTTGCACAACACAGCATGCCAGCGCATTCTTGGTAACATGACTCCGGTATCATTTATCATCCAAAAATGTGTTCTGGATTAAATCAAGAATTTCTCATGAGGGCCAAAAATTAAAAAAAATTCTCCTATCACATCTGCTCATCATCGCAAATGAGGAGTTGTATCAAGGTGAATGAGAGAGGAATAATACACGTTATTTAAATTTCAGCAAATATGCATTTATTTTTCATTTTCTAAATCTTAATTTTATCATGATGTTCATTACTAGTACAATAGAGCTGAGCAGTGGTGCAATAGTCAGCCACCCTGCCCTCTGAACCCATTCCCTTGAGTTCAGTTCCCAGTCATGGATAGCATCACTGGTGAGTGATCTCTAAATTGGTCCCCCCCCCCCTTAACCACTAATCCACACTGAACACCAGCGCATGGTCAAAGAATCCCCATGATCAATTGGCATGGGGAAGCCTTTATTCATCAGTTTATTTATTAGTTATATAAACTATAACTAATAAAATATCTAAATAGTAGACCTTAACATAGTGGTCGCTACAGAACATTAGACATACAGCAAATGGAAATGTTAAAAGGCAACACCCACGAAGTAAAAATATTCGATAAAACTTATGTTGAACACAATAAAAAATACTATATTGGCATGTTTCTAGTTCCAAATGTTCTCAAAGAAACATGTTGTTCTGATTTAAGTACTAGATCTGTGGCAACAGCACATTAACACAATTCATATGTTTAATTTACCACCCACAAACAGCGCATTTACACAACTTTCATACCAATGATTGACTCTGGTGACATATAACAATCAGCTCCAAGGACAACCTGTGAGAGATTTGATCTATTTTTCTATTCAGTCTCAAGATTTGTATGTTACAACCTTGCTCTGTTCATCACAGTCATCTGAACAGCCGTAGCCAGACATTTTCACAGCTGGTGCAAGGTGCCATCCCCAGTCATCCCGTCAACCCGTCCTTGCTACAGCACTCGATCTCAATATCCGTTCAGGTATTATCCCACTTTGCGATCGAAAAAATTGTTTTGCATTTTTTGTTGAAAAGGCATACGTATACCAAAGTGTTACCAACTCGGTTCACATGTTTGCTCAGTTCACAAACATTTGAAATCTGAGAGGTGCTTGACAGTTCAAGAGCCATAGTCCATAACGAAACATAAAACAAACATCCTGTCAATGTCTGCGCACATGGATTGACAGTGCATTTGCCCTAAATCTGGGGCCGTCCATAAATGACGTCACGCGATTTTGGACAATTTTTGACCCCCCCCTCCCCTCGTCGTCACAGGGCGTCACAAAAAGTCAGACCCCCCCTCAAATATGACGTCACAAAGCTCTGCCCCCCCCCCCCCAAAACCATAAAACATGTTTCAAATCGCTGTAAATTATTGTCATTGTAGTGCGTATTTTATGTGGCGCTACACTCTGATGTTGTAGGAGAAAACATTTATTAAAAAGTATATTTAATTAAGTAGAACGTGATGTCTATATTTATTTAAAGTTGCGCATTTTGATGTGACGTCACATTTCTCAACCACCCCCCCCCCCCCCTCATCACACATCGTCACAAATGTATGACCCCCCCAGGTGCGTGACGTCATTTATGGACGGCCCCTCTATCATAACCATTTCTGGGTAGTTTCTGTGCAATTTAAATCACTTATTGGTAACCATAAATTGAAATGTTTGCTGATACATAAATCAGGAAACTATAGCAACAGAACATATAACATTGACCTGAGGTTGTAGAAACCGGGCAGCTCAGACGGGCTGCTGTTATATGAGTAAACATAACCTTTTGCAACTTACTTGTGTGAACTATATATATACCCTTTTTCGACTGTACAACCGCGGCGCACCAAGGCTGTAACCGACCCAGCCGGGTGCAGCTCAGGTGACACATTGTTTTTCCACTGCAGAAGCAAAGCTGTGCCACTGATGTCACATGTAATGAACGGGTAAAGGCGCATGTAGATGACTTGACACTTTGTCCTCACAGTATACCGACTGAGATCACAAAATGAATGCATCAATCGCCACGACCATGGCCCCTGCTCGTCTCTGAACCAGATGCAGATGTCTCGAGAGGCCAGTACAGCAAACATTTCACTCTCTTGGTTTTAACCATCTCGGTTTTGCACCAAACGTATTTGGGTACAATTTAACACGTAAGCTTACGCGACCTAAAAAAACTGTATTATGTTATTCATTGAGGTACAGTTTGCCGATCGCACCCCCTTTAGCTTGAACATTCGCAGTTGACCACGAAATTCCTGTACGCATCGTAACTGTACTGCTCGCGATGATGCTGCTGCAGAAGAACACCCGCGCCATCTTGTCTCCATCTTGTATGCCCAGCCTCCAGTGAGGCAGTGACATTCAGTTGCACATTGATTTTGAACACTACATTCGATTTTTTTGCAGTCTATGCATTTACCATACACGTTACATAAAAAAAAAACTTCCTGTTTAATGTTTGGGTTGATATACGGTAACATAAAACCAAACCCTAGTTTTCCCATATGCCTCTGAGTTTGTGGATATTTTCCAGAACATAACCCCTGTAATGGGCAAGGGTTTGCTATGTATCATGGGTTGGTTCTGGCTCAGCATGGGAAATAGCCAGTGTAAGATCATCGATGTATTGAGGGCCCCTCTGTTGGCACAGCTCGGATGTACAAGTGAAAAAGGGGTACAATCGGTACAACAATTGTATATAATTACTAATCTTTCGTATTATTTCTAAAATATATTGATTGTTTTGCTATTGCTAGTTGCTGCATTGTGCTACATTGAGTAAAATGGAATCTATGTGCGATAAACACATCTACAAACACAGTATTTCCATAGGCAGCATGCGTAGAATGCGATACATCACCAGTACATACCTGTAGGGCTGTGGATTGATGGGCGAGTCAACAAAAAGGCACAAGATAGCCAGAGGAATCAGCAAAATAAGAAGCATGATCCCAATGCTAACGCGAAATGCACGGCCGCTTACTGATCTGCGCACACGGGAACAAACACACACAAAAAATGGATGTGAAAATTCACAATGTATTTAAATAACTATTGGCAGCTTTTAAGTTAGCAAAGATGGAAATAAGATTAATGACAATGATTGATAATAAAGGAGACAATCTATTTTTTTAGCAACATAGGAAGCCTGCAAATGGGCTTTAATTTTTTTTACCACATTTCGAGATAAGTGCATATTTTTCCACCACCTGCAATGGAAGTGCAGCGGAATGCATTGTTAATCGCAAGGGTACAAGTTTGAAGCACTTAGCTCATTCTACATTAACGTCTCAGTTACAGGACGCTATAGAATGCATAAGATTAAAGTTATGTACATCTTAGGTGGATTTTTGCCAGTAGATTTAGCAAACACAAACTAGTAGAGAAGACGTTGCTCTGCAACAGAAAATACAAGACAGTAATCATTTCATCATGGGACCTCCTTTGCCAGTACCAAAATATACTAATAGGGGTTTTCCCTTTTTTCTGGCAACAAAACTGACACCTTTTGCAAGGAATCATGCTTACATTAACCACAATACTTGCAGTCAAATGCAAACAAAAAACAATACTCTGATAATTTATGCATTGTCCTTGAAACTGATTGGTCCACACCAGAGACAGCTTTCTTTAGAGTCTCGCCTCATATGGTGTTCGACCAGATGACGCCAAAAGGCGCAGTAATCATTTCACACTTCTCACAAATCCTGTACTCTGAACACTAAAATCTCATTTTTTGTGTGATAAAATGCCCAGATAATATGCATTGCAATATTTTTTTTTATATTCGCTAGGATTTACATAATATTCTGGCTAAAGAATGACATTGACAGAAGCACAAATTGAGCATTTTTAAATGAACCGTGGTCAGTCTTCTGCATTCGTTACTCCCACCATATTCGGTGTCGCTGTCCATTATTAAACGTCTTCCACCATTTCAATGGCAAAGGCCCGCAGCCACGAACAACGGAGTTATTGTTAGGGTGGACAGAAGCCCAGCCAGCAGCCAGCCAGGAAATTCGATGTACAGTATAGATCATTGTAAATAGTAATATGATGAAAATGCACATCATGACTTGTTCAAGAGCAGCAACTTCAACTTAAATTATGTAACCACCCTTGTGCTGATAAAAAAAAACTCATGAAAGTATAATGCAGTACTGTATATGGAAATGTTACCGTGAAGTTACAAACTAATTCACGGCCATGAATGAGATGAGATGGGGAAACTTGCAGCATTGTATAAAGTAGTTAATTCTGTGGCACATTTAAATGCAGTAGAGAACAATTGAAATATTAAACAATTATTCAGAACAATGGATATATTCTCTAGTGCTGGGTTATTCTATGAAAACGAAACCGGTTTAAGTTTTTAGTGTTATTGCACTTAAGTTGAAAAAACCTTGTGTTCAATGTGTACTTTGCACCCACGGCTTTCATAAAGTAAACTACTGTACTGCAAACGTGCCCTGCTCTCTGTAATAAGCTGTTAGTGTGCATTTGATGTTCTGTTAAAGTACAGTATACCTCCATGTAGAGTTCTTTGCAGATAGCCAACTCATTTCTGATAACCCTCTTCTTACAGGCTATTGAATATTGTGACAGTAGTGATGGCTCCACATCTTACACAAGAGCGTCACATTCTGTAAATAAGTGCATTTGAGATTGGTGGGAGACGTTTAAATATATGCTTTGAAATAAATCGTCGTTTTCTTTAGACTATAATTGTTCTCGAATGTTTCAATGCCAGATATGTGTAATGCTGTGCCTTAGGTGTTTCGGTAAAACGGTACTGTTTCATAGTTATCCCCCACTGGAAACTTACGTGAGATGAACACAACATCAACACGCTACAGCCACAACAGGGGCCGTCAATAAATGACGTCACACGGCGTCACGAAGAGTCAACCCCCCCCCTCAAATATGACGTCACAAAGCTCTGCCCCCCCCCTCCCCCCAAAAAATAAAACATGCTTCAAATCGCTTTAAACTATTGTCATTGTAGTGCGTATTTAATGTCTCGCTGCACTCTGATGTTGTAGGAGAAAACATTTATTAAAAAGTATATTTAATTAAGTAGAACGTGTTGTCTATTTATTTAAAGTTGCGCATTTTGATGTGACGTCACCTTTCTCAAACCTCCTCCCCCTCGTCACACATCGTCACAACTATCTGGCCACCCCCCCCCCCTCCATGCGTGACGTCATTTATGGACGGCCCCATAGTACATACTACAAGCGTCTAGGACGAATCACAAAGGTCGACCCAAAGCATCGTGCACTGGGCGCAGTCACACAGCAAGCCGAATGTCACGCTGACATTCACTTGCATGAGCTCGCATTACAACAGCAACAACAATTCATTGTTGTCCTTTCTCTGCGACTCCTATTAGCACCGTTGGCTACGTACGGTGCGAAAGAAGTTCACCATACGCGTACATTTCACATCTTTAAAATCGCTCTCAAACGCGCATGCATGGGCACCACAAGTGGCTCAAATATGAAATATGCTTAAAGGTACCGACGCTGCCGGCACGGATTGCTATCCGGGTCCCGTTATAGAACAGACTGCACCACACACGCACACAGAGAGACAGAGAAGAGACGTCTCTACACGATGCTTGCACGTGTCCATGTGTGTGCTGCGTGCACTCAACGCGTGCCACGATTCGCACAACGCCCCTCCGCGTGAACAACGCGTGAACATCATCGACAGCAACGCAATTCGGACACCACCCACAAGCCCCCAGCCAGCCAGAGTTCGATTCCTGCACAGGGTACAACAACATCAGCGGCGGACAATTCTGAGAAAAAAAAAACTACAAAACAAAACACTCCTCGGGCCACCGCTAGGTCGACTCAGCCTTAAACATCGTCGCTTGGGTTAAGAGACGAAGGGCATCCCCCGCTCCCGACATTGGGCACTTGCGCCACAAGCAACAAGCACGTTCGCAGGCAAAGGAGGTGGCGATCTGCCTCTTGCGTGCGTGTGTGTAAGTGTGTGTGTGGTGTATGTGTGTGCAAGTGCGTGTGTGTGTGTGTGTGTCATGTGTGGTGTGTACGTGTGGGTGTTGTGTGTATGGTGCGTACGTGTCTGTGTGGGTGCGTGTGTGGTGTATCGGTACGTGTGTGGTGTGCGTGGTGTGTGTATGTGTGGGTTCGTTCGTGATGTGCGTGTGTGTGTGCAAGGTGCTCGCTAACAGGACTTGCCCCTACAGTCTGTCAAGGCTATACGGGGGATCTTTATCTTTGTGTGTATGTGTGTGTATGTGTGTGTGCCCCCCCGAACGTTTGTATCGCGAGTGCTCGTAAAAGCCCCCCTCCCTCCCCCCAGAGCGTGTGGCCCTGCGAGCCACTTGCCCGGCCGTGAGTCCGTGGGCCCCACGAGCAGGAGGAGGAGGAGGCTCCTCCTGCTCCTCCTGCCCGTCCGTCACGACTTGCTGCTCGGGCGCTCGTCGCCGGCGCAGATCCGTTGGTGGCTCCATCTTCGTCTTCCTCTCTCACTCCCCGAGCCGCTCTCGCTCTGCGCGCCGCCTGCAGGAGGGACGGGGGGGGGTTGGTCGCTTCCATGATCTTCCGAACGAGGTCAATTCCCACTACCCACACACACACACACCCCCCCACCCACCCACACACACACCCCCCCACCCACCCACACACACACCCCCCCACCCACCCACACACACACCCCCCCACCCACCCACACACACACCCCCCCACCCACCCACACACACACCCCCCCACCCACCCACACACACACCCCCCCACCCACCCACACACACACCCCCCCACCCACCCACACACACCCCCCCACCCACCCACACACACACCCCCCCACCCACCCACACACACACCCCCCCACCCACCCACACACACACCCCCCCACCCACCCACACACACACCCCCCCACCCACCCACACACACACCCCCCCACCCACCCACACACACACCCCCCCCACCCACCCACACACACACCCCCCACCCACCCACACACACACCCCCCCACCCACCCACACACACACCCCCCCCCACCCACACACACACCCCCCCACCCACCCACACACACACCCCCCACCCACCCACACACACACCCCCCACCCACCCACACACACACCCCCCCACCCACCCACACACACACCCCCCCACCCACCCACACACACCCCCCCACCCACCCACACACACACCCCCCCACCCACCCACACACACACCCCCCCACCCACCCACAACACACACCCCCCACCCACCCACACACACACCCCCCACCCACCCACACACACACCCCCCCACCCACCCACACACACCCCCCACCCACCCCACACACCCCCCACCCACCCACACACACACCCCCCCCACCCACCCACACACACACACCCCACCCACCCACACCACACCCCCCACCACCCACACACACACCCCCCACCCACCCACACACACACCCCCCCACCCACCCACACACACACACCCCACCCACCCACACACACCCCCCCACCCACCACACACCCCCCCACCCACCACACACCACCCCCCCCACAAGACCCCCCCACCACACACACACCCCCCACCCACCCACACACACACCCCCCACCCACCCACACACACACCCCCCCACCCACCCACACACCACACCCCCCACCCACCCACACACACACCCCCCCACCCACCCACACACACACCCCCCCACCCACCCACACACCACCCCCACCCACCCACACACCCACACCACCACCACACACACCACCACCCCCACACAACCACCACTCACCACCCATCCACCACACACCACACACCCCACCCACACACACCACACCCCACCCACACACACCACCCACCACACCCACCCACACACACACCCACCCAACACCACACACACACACCCCCCACCACCCACCCACACACACCCCCCACCCACCCACACACACACACCCCCACCCACCCACACACACACACCCCCACCCACCCACACACACACCCCCCACCCACCCACACACACACCCCCCACCCACCCACACACACCCCCCCACCCACCCACACACACACACCCCCCCCCCCCCACACACACACACACCCCCCCACCCACACACACCCCCCCCACCCACACACACCCCCCCACCCACACACACACCCCCCCACCCACCCACACACACACCCCCCCACCCACCCACACACACACCCCCCCACCCACCCACA